CGGAAGTAAGTGTTCCAGTTTGCAAACTTTTTGGGAAGCCGGATGTGCTCTGTTTTGAGTGCCTTGATTCAATTTTGAGTGTTACGCTTCTCTTTTGAGTGTACGCTGAGGCTGTCTGTGTTTGCTATTTATTTTGCATTATTGTTTTTGCGGCTCCTTTTGTTTTGTTTTTGTGACTGTGTGGAACCCAGTTCAGCTACTGATTGAATGATTGTGTGGTTGCAGTATATTGTTTATTGCTTTCATTTTATGGATCAATGGTCTCGTTAGATGGTAAAATTCATGTTCAATTGCTGTTTTAGGGGTTGTTTTCAGAAGTCTGGGACGGATTAATGCCTTTTGCAATACTTTCTATGGGAAAGCGCACCTTGTTTTGGAATGCTTTGGTTTTGGGAACAGACCTCCGGAATGGGATTAAGTTTGAGAACCAAGGTACCAATGTATATTAATCCTGAGGGTAATGCCCATTCCCTCCCCTTAACAAGGCTTTGGGATTTTGCTTGTAGGCCAGTCTATTTTGATATTTGCAAGGAAGCATTTCGCCCCCCTCCCTCTCAGGACTGTTTCACTGAAGAGGAATGGGCTCTGCTGGGTCCTGACCAGAGAGCCCTGCACAGCCAAATTATGAAGGAGATTTGCAGGATCGTGTCCTCTCTCGGTAAGGTTCCCTTTTACTCTGCTTGATGATAATATATTTTCAGAAATGCAAGTAACTTAATTGGGAATACTCAACGGGTTTAACGACTGCGTGTCAGCATCACAATTCTTATTCTTTTGGTCCAGCAAGATTTATATATTTGTGTATATCTTCTGGATATCTCTTTCTATAGCTCTGCTTCTGTTTATCTACCGTTTTCCCATTTAACAAAATTCCACAGAAGGATTAACCCTGGTCAGATGCCAGTAGAAAAAGTAAAAATTATTATCACATTATTTGTAACAATGATTCATTGATTTCCTTAAATATGATTGCCTTCTATGGCGAAACTTACCAGAAGAATAAGGAATCAAGATAACATTTTTTAAAATAAAAGAATGGAAATGGTTTATTGAATATTTACAGATAAATTGTAAACAGATAAAAACATTGGTAGGATTATTGTAATAACCTGCAGTTTCATACCAGTATATATTTAAAGAAGATAATAAATGAGCAAATTAGTTAATTTGGATATGCAGAAGATATTAAAAATAAATTTAAGGAACCGCAGGAAAGAGGGAGGAAGGAAGTCAAACCTTGAAATGTCAAAATGATTCTAAAATTAGTGAAATGCATAAATGTCAAAAGGATTTTAAAAATATTTTTACAAAAACAATTGATTGCCTTCTAAACCACCGTCTCAAGGCAATTTATACAAAAAATGTTTTAAAAGCAGTTATATACACAAAGCAACAAATAAAAATAAGACTAAAACCGTAACAAGTGGACACCCATTATTAAAATTTATTTATCCAGCTGGAAAAGGTCCCAATTCCTGCCCCCAAGGGATGCCATTCCACAGAACACAGACAGTGACACTAAAAGCCCCATTCTGGGTCCTGTGCTTTGGAGATTCTTTGGAACTTGCAGGAGAATCTCTGCTGTATATCTGGGACTGAGCAGAACAGGGACTTGCATGTGAGTACAAACTCCTTGAAACTCAGCCCAGTAGCAGATTGGTAGCAAGTGCAAATCCACTAGCAGGCTGCTCTATGCTGGCAGTAGTTTCCTCCCACAAGCCTGACGTGGATGCACTGCGGTCTAAACCACTGAGCCTCTTGGGCTTGCTGATGGAAGGGTTTGGCAGGTTTCGAATCTGTGTGACGGAGTGAGCTCCTGCTGCTCTGCCCCAGCTCCTGCCAAACCTAGCAGTTCGAAAGCACACCGGCGCAAGTAGGTAATTAGGTACCACTGTAGCAGGAAGGCAAACGGTGTTTCCGTGAGTTCTGGTTTCCGTCACGGTGTTCCATTGCCGCCAGATGCGGTTTTAGTTCCTGCTAGCCACATGACCTAGAAAGCTGTCTGTGGACAAACGCCAGCTCCCCTCAGCCTGAAAGCAAGATAAGCGCTGCAACCCCATAGCTGCCTTTGACTGGACTTAACTGTTCAGGGATCCTTACCTTTTTTACCTTGCTCACACAAGCCACCTGGCTATTTGCGTTCTGCACCAGCTACAGCCTGTGGCCCAACCTTCTACAATATCTCTTTGTACGGTGCATTGCAGTAAGCTAACCATGAGGGATGTGAACAGATCCCATTAATTTTTTCTAGTATAGGTGGGACTCATGAGGGTTTAAAAAAAATTCATAAATATTTATTTTTGTAAAGATTTTTTCTGTTTCATTTTATGATGCACATGAAACAGAGATAGCAGCTATAACTGTAGCGATCAGACGGGATTACTATGAGGAATGATAAAATATGCATCAAGCCATTGTGTCCGCGATGAAAAGCATTGCGCTGACTGGGTTTGATTCATTGACAATAATTTCTGATCAAATCCCACAAGCCTCTACATCCACGCCATTTTTCTCTACTGCCATTTCTCTATGTCTGACAAGCACGTATAAGCATTCTAGGACACAGACCAGTTGCCGGTTGCTGCACCAGCCATCCTAGGCCATAATAGGTTACTTTGATGTAGTTTGTTAATCTTTAGATAGATCTTAGGGCCAGGAAGAGAGTTCAGGAAGAGACTTCACAAAGAGATGGTGAATACTACCCTTCCTTCCTTCCTTCCTTCCTTTACTGATCTGACTTTATCCCACGTGAGGTTTTTTGAAATGCTCAGAGGAAATCTGATAGGTTCTTATGAACACTGTGTAAAAAGTTCTTTTGTGAATAAAACAACCTGGGCCAAGGGGGGGGGGAGAGAATTATTATATGCACCCCTCCCAAAGTCTTGCTGGTCAAGCCTCGTGTGTATTTTATTAATCAGAGTCCAATCCTTCCTTGCTTTGGAAACGCTACATATAACAGCAGATGAAAATTAGGATATGAAAAGCAAAACTATAAAATAGGCACCTAGACTTGCACGTGGTTTCAAACAGCACAGTCCAAGTGAATAATATTGGCATTATCCGATGATCAAGTATATCTCTGGATTTGCCAAGCTTGTGACAACAGCTGTCTAGCAGATGATGTATACAGAATCATAGAACTGTAGTTATAAGGGACCCCAAGGGTCATCTAGTCCAACCCCCATCAATGAAGTAATCTCGGCTAAAGCATCCATAGCAGAAGGCCATCCCACCTCTGCTTAAAAACCTCCAAGGAAGGAGAGCCCACCTCCCACCGAGGGGAGACTGTTCCAATGTCAAAACAGCTCTTACTGTCAGAAAGTTCTCCCAATACAATAATGGCTGTCCTGGGGGACCAGAACACGATCATTGGTTTACTCTCTGTAGGAGTTATTTGATATGATTAAAGATCTCTCACACTCCAACCCTTTCTAAGATGTTTCCCTTATAAGAGTTCTGTACTGTTTAGGAAGGGAGCCCCTGCCACTGAAGTTCTTTCCATACACCAAACATTTCTAAGATTTCCTCCCTGTATGAGTTCTTTGATGCGACTTAAGGGAGCTACTACGACTAAAGCTTTTTCCACACTCCAAACATGTATACGGTTTCTCTCCTGTATGAGTTCTTTGGTGCAACTTAAAGGCGCTATGGTGACTGAAGCTCCTTCCACACTCCGAACATGTATACGGTTTCTCTCCTGTATGAGTTCTTTGATGCGGCTTAAAGGCGCTATGGTGACTGAAGCTCTTTCCACACTCTGAACATGTATACGGTTTCTCTCCTGTATGAGTTCTTTGATGCGACTTAAGGGAGCTACTGCGACTGAAGCTCCTTCCACACTCCAAACATGTATATGGTTTCCCTCCTGTATGAGTTCGTTGATGCAACATAAGGGAGCTACTGCACCTGAAGCTCCTTCCACACTCTGAACATGTATACGGTTTCTCTCCTGTATGAATTCTTTGATGCAACCTGAGTTGGCTACCACGACTGAAGCTCTTCCCACACTCCAAACATTTATAAGGTTTCTCTCCTGTGTGCAATCTTTGATGCAAGGTAAGGCTGCCACTCTGGCTGAAGCTCTTTCCACACTCGAAACATGTATATTGTTTCTCCCCTCTATGAATTCTTTCATGTGAGGAAAGGTAGTCAATGCGACTGAAGCTCTTGCCACATTCCCAGCATTTACAAGGTTTGCTGCCTCGATGAGTTTGTTGATGTCTAGTAAGCGCATTGCTGCGAGCGAAGCTCATTCCACAGTCCAAACACATATGCGGTTTCTCCCCTGTATGAGTTCTTTGATGCGACTTAAGGGTGCTACTCTTACTGAAGCTCCTTCCACACTCCAAACATGTATACGGTTTCTCCCCTGTATGAGATCTTTGATGCGACTTAAGTGCGCTACTCTGACTGAAGCTCCTTCCACACTCTGAACATGTATACGGTTTTTTCCCCTGTATGAAATCTTTGATGCAAGGTAAGGGCACCAATGTGACTGAAACTCTTTCCACACTCTGAACACGTATGCGGTTTCTCCCCTGTATGAGTTCTTTGATGCGACTTAAGTGCGCTACTCTGACTGAAGCTCCTTCCACACTCTGAACATGTATATGGTTTTTCCCCTGTAT